GAGAATTTGCTAGCTTGGCGAGCATTGGCCGCTCAGTGGGATACCACCTAACAGGCCACCGTACTTGTTAGCGCTAGCTAGCTTCATGGGTATTTTTCCCTTCCGATTGGACAATAACACCTGGTAATGAACAAGGGGCAACCAAGGAGCCAAGTGACATCATAACAGCTTCTGCGGTGCATTTGCAAACCACAGAAAAAGTAGCTCAACTTAGTTTGCTGTTTAAAATGCCACAGGACACAATGCATTATTATCATAACAACTATAAATTTCACTGAGTGCTCGGACACAAGTAAATATTTTAAATAGGGTCTAAATATGCCTTTAGCTTTTTCAGTATCCGTGCGAGCACGTGTTCCGAAGCGAACCTTCAATTTTGCAACGCTGATGGAGAGAAACAATACCCTCTTGGTTCAGTAGCCATTTTATACAAGCGCACTCACACACCCACAGAGCCCTGAGGGGATGCAGAGCGAGTGGGGGTTGGATACCGTGAGACGAGGGCATCAAACTGGGGCTTTGGAGACGCAGAGCTGCACCAACTGAAAAACGCACGTGTAATGCATGCGCGCGCGCGTCTTGTGTGAACACAAATTCACACATCTGGTGACACACCGAGGGAGGGATAGCGAGAGTTTATGGAGGCTAGTTTGAAAGCAGACAAGCTGCTTCCAAGTGAAGGACGATGGTGCCTTTGCCTGCAGGGATCATTTCAACATAATCGTTCTTTTGAAAGAAAACGGACAGTGAAAATGAGGAAGCTCTGCAGAGTGAAAATGTTTTTGAATATAGACTGGGTATATGTTTGAAATGAAACTTCTGGAAGAGAAGTAATACCCACAAGTTTCTAATCAATCATTAACTCTTTATGTCCTCACCCGTGGAAAATATCAGGACAATTTTTAACCCAACAAATTTACTGCAGTGCACAAAAGTCCGAAAGTAATAATAATGAAAAAGTAATCAATATATTTTAAATAATACATTAAAGAGTAGCAATAATATATCGTCCATTTGTTCTGTTTTTGTGTGTCTTTCTTTGTAAAATGGGTTTTGAAAGTTACTTCACTCCAGATAATTTTTCTTTAGAAAATGCAAAGGTTTAATTAAAAAACAACTGTTATATATATATTTTTAAAAAAAGTCAGTACAATATGCTTTTTCAATTTTTTTTCCTTTGAAAGCTATACATGTTTAACTTTATTGAAAAAAGGTAATACACCCCAATATATTATTATTTTATTTGGTTTATCGAATAATAATAATAATATACTCTTTTAAATTAACAAAAAAGACAGAAAAACTGAAAATGATAGTGATGCTTTTTTTAAAAACATGCAAAAAAATTTAAAGTAAATTATTTTCCCATGTTTGGAATAATTTTACAATTTCACAATTTTTCTAGCACATTGATGTCATTTTTATATATAAATAAATAGATAAATAAACATACATTATACTGTGTATAGGACTGTACAAATGTGTCACATTTATTCCCCACCAAAAAAAAAAAACAGCAAGTAAAAAATAAAATACATTTTTCCTGTTCTATTCTTTGTTCATTATCAATTAAAATCATATTCCATCCATCCATTATCCAAACTGATAATCTTCACGAAATGATAATAATAATATCCAGTATCTGTGTCTAACTGTATACTTATCTTCATTGCATACTATTTTAAATAAGATTTCTTCTTTAAAAAAAAAAAAAAAAAAAATCATAATCACGTCCTTCCCAGATTGGCTAGGAGAAAAAACCATCTCTCCCACATTTTTCCTGTTCTATTCTTTGTTCATTATCAATTAAAATCATATTCCATCCATCCATTATCCAAACTGATAATCTTCACGAAATGATAATAATAATATCCAGTATCTGTGTCTAACTGTATACTTATCTTCATTGCATACTATTTTAAATAAGATTTCTTCTTTAAAAAAAAAAAAAAAAAAAAAATCATAATCACGTCCTTCCCAGATTGGCTAGGAGAAATCACATGCTTCCACTGCCTAATAATGAGGCTTGTGGTGTCCATTTTGGCTCAAGTTTAAGTGGCCAAAAATGGCTCCCACAAAGAGCTCGGTGGCACTTATATCACATGGAGGTGCCTCATATAACTCACAGATGACTTAAACGAAGCACAACATGTGGCGAAAGCCTTCAAAAATGCCTCCCATCACTAATTCGGCTTTGATTTTGCAGCGTAGCAGTGCTCAAACCTTTTCCACATGAATAATGCTGCAGCCGCACCGCTTCAAGATGACACATAAGCTTGGTCATTTTTGACATGATGTTTTGACACTGTCAACTCTGGAAAATTCTTCCTCGCAGTGCCCGGGGACATCGCCGCCATTTTGGGGGGGCACATGTGACCCTTTGCGCCGTCTGCGATGGCGCCAAAACGGCGGTAGGCAGGCAGGCCAGGCAGGAGGGTCAGGAGTCACTCAGGCCATGTGACGCATCCCCGGAGGTGTCGTTGGGAGCGACATGGGAGCCCAAGAATCAGAGAGTGCGGTGTAGCTGCGAGGCCCCCAGATGAAAGAAAAAGAAGGTCAGTGGCCACAGGAAGCAGTGCAAAAAGCGCCCCCAGCTACTGTCCTTAATGAGAGCACATCCCCTTGGGTGCGTATCCCAGCAGCCCCCACTGCCACGTAGAAAAGTCCAATCTATACGGAGCGCCGCCGGCCAGCCAGAGCAGCCATTTTCATGGTTCATTCCCGGAGCCAGGAGCCACCTTGTGAGGTAAACAAACCCAAGTACAAAGATGTGCACGCTGCTGCTCGGCCACTTGCCGCTTGGTTGTTGGATTTTTTTTCTTCCTTGCCGTTTGTTTCATTCAACGTTTGGAAGGTCTCGCCATTTTTTTTCTGGAAGGTCAAACTTGTTTTCTACACAGGCCTTATACGGTTGCGGTTATGGCTGCCCTCAGGGGTCCGGTTGGAATGCTCAAACGGCATACATGGTCACGACTTGGGGTGTAGCAGTACAGCTAAAATGACAGTGGAAAGTCAAGGTTCAGTTAACATTGCGTACAGTAAGGGGAAAAACATGCAAAACAAAATGGGTATGTTAGCCTTGCTTTTTTTTTGTTTTCTTTTTAGCAAAGTGTAGCATCAATATGTTGTATCATTTTTGCAGTGTGCTTGAAAAGCACAAATCATGGCCTTTCCTGAAAGTTAGCCAGAATCTGAGCTGCACTGGGTTTTTTTACATTGCTGGAGCACATCGAACACCACATTTTGTTCTTTACGTAATATTTTCTGTGTTCTAAAACTCGCAACATCACATTACATAATCACCCCTTACCTTGATTATTATTGCTTTTATGATGGATAAATTATATGATAAAATCTTTCATCTTAATCCTAATCTTTGAAGGGAAGCGCAACATCAGTCATCTTCTTTTGAGGAATGAAGACACATAATCTCAACTTCGTGATTTTGTTAGTTTTCGTTAACTATATGAACGTTGCTTATGGCTTTGGCCTCATCTGAAGGGCCCTGAGGAGGCTGTTTAAATGCCCCTTGACGTTAGCATTAGCACTGTGCAACTTGATGGATTTATTTTCGTTAAATGGAGTTAGCAAGTTTGATATTCTGTAAAAAGCATGACGCTGACCATGACGTCTACCAGCCAGAAGCTGAGCTACTCTGTGTTGGTTCACGGACTAAATGTGTTGCAAGAGCAGCGGGCAGTTACACTTCCTGTCCCGTACTCGATACATTCCGTAATGTAATCTGAATAAGTATCCCAGCAAATTACATGATCTCCCCAGCATTTCATTACTAAAAAATGAATGTGAAACAACTTTTGGACAGTATTCCAGGAAAATGTCCTACATGTGACATTTGACCAAAAAACATGTCACTAGCCATGAAGTCAAGTAGGCAGAAGCAGAGCTGCACTGTGTTGCATCCTGTCCCTTACCTAATACCTACATTTGATCATTATATTTTTTACAATGGATAAAAATATATTTTTCAAAACATGAAACAAAACAACAACAAAACAGCATTTTAAAAAACTATTTGATTCGGAAAATTATGAGAAGGATCGTCCTCGAGCACCACCCAGGGGGCTAAATCTCATGAATGGGTATTTCGGTTCCTACTTTAAATACATTTGTTAAAGTGCCAGGTGGCGTTCAATTCGCAGCCAAGCCTTCTCACCGTCAAGACACGGGGCTGACGTTGAAGCCTGTGGGGCAGCGGACGGGCACAAAAGCTCATAAATACACACGTGTACGGTTTCTGTGAGTAATGGGCTCTCTGACCATTTGTTTGTGTGTTGAATGCTTCAAACCCAAAGTGCTCGAAGGCCACTCGGCAGCGCAGTCCTGCATTGCCCCACAACTTTTAATGACGCACATTGAAAAGCGTGCGCATGCACAGTCTCATGTTGATTCGAAAAACCTTTAGGCCACAACGTGCTCTCATCTTTCTGACATTCTAAGCTCCCAAACAGCCTCGTGGCTTTCCCAATAACAACCAAACAATTGCTCCGCCTACACTTCTCTCTTTCAACTGTATCCAATCAGCACTTTGAGCCCCGGGCGACAATCCCCCTTGGGGCGAGAACGTTTTTGCAAGGCCGTGTTTGTTCTGGAACCATTTGCTGTGCCCACGTCCTCCTCGCTCCAGGCAAGGCACACGGCCTCGGGGCAATGAGGCGTGACCTATTTGGATGGAAACGAGGGTGACACCCAGCTCCCCTCTGGTGGTATCCACAAGTACGACAGCTCCAGAACAAGTACTGACGTAAAATCGTACTTAAAGTCCCTGTAAAGTGCAAAGAAATATGTCAACTGAATTTGGCACACGATTGAGAAGACTGTTGTCAACAGCTCTGCCAAATTTGAATGATTATTGAAATTGCAAAGTATGTACTGACTTCAAAATCCTGAAAAATCAAGCAATTCTCCGTTTACTGAATGCGCTCGAACCCCCACCCCGCTCAACTGTCAACTGTCAAACGAATACCAGTACTACGACCTGTTACGTCGAGCATCTTTCTTATGCATGCACATAACAACATGTTTGATCTGCAAAAACATATCTGCTTCAAGGCTCCGAGAATATCATCTCATCGCAGGGTTGCAAGTCTGACTTTTGTCCGCGTGAGTTGCAATTGAGACGCGCTAAAGCAGCCATGTTAGTGGATGAGCTGCTATGTTCCATCTGCTGGTTGAACAAAAGTCTTTCATGCGGAGAGTCGATAAATTTTAATATTTGGGATTTCACCTGTTTACTTCCAAATGTTTTATTCCTCATTACTCCCAGTTTCTCATGGAAAGCAAAATATTGAATGTTTTTTTTTCTTCACCAAGCAATCAAGTGTGTGCCAATATTCATCTTTTGGTTAACGCAATGTGTGCATGCAACATTTGATGCAATTCTGCTTACCTTTTGGATTTGAAAAAATAGCAGGAGCATTACACTTATGGGGAATGTGGATGTTTCTGCGTGATATTGTTTCAGACAGTGTAGCGTGGTCATTGATTGATAGTGGCTCTGAAACTTCACCCAGCCAGGCTGGCCATGTCATGGTCAGAGAAACTCCTGTTGCCATATAAATGATTCATGTCTGTGACGCGTGCTATTCAATGACATTTGACTCATGGGGTTTATTTCAGCCTCTGGTGGTCATTGCATGTACAAGGGCTCCTGTTGTGATACAAACTACTGCTGCCCTGGTGGAGGTAACAAGTACTGTCGCTTCAGTGAATGGAAGAAGTACTGAGTGTCCTATCGTGGTAACCATTACTAGAGCTCTGTGAATCGTACAGGGCGTGAAAAATCATTCAAAAAATATCATTAAGATGCTAAAACATCAACACAAGGCAATAGCTAGCTAGCATGGTAGATATAGACTAGCTAGCCGGCTACCTAGCATGATAGATATAGACTAGCTAGCCGGCTAGCTAGCAAGATAGATAGATAGATAGATAGATAGATAGATAGATAGATAGATAGATAGATACGTTTTTTAAAAAGGTGGGTGGCTTTTCATGCAAACACGCAATATGCAAATCTAAACAAATGATGAAGACAGTGTATTGACACACTGTAAAGTATGCTTAAAGATGTGTCTGTTCCGGTTTTAAGACAGTAGATGATTCACAGGGAGGCAGGATTATATTAAAAAAAGACTCCTGCCTTGAGGCAAAAATGCATTCATTCCTTTCCTTGCCCTTTAGCAGCCAACCTGCAGTTGTTCATTTCCATTAATGTGTGTGCGTGCGTGTGTGTGTGTGTGTGTGTGTGTGTGTGTGTGTGTGTGTGTGTGTGTGTGTGTGTGTGTGTGTGTGTGTGTGGGAC